TCCTTTTGGTAGACATGCTGGTTTTGTAAGAACAACAACAAGAATTAAGGAGTTATTAGCCTAAGATAAAACATGATATCAAAAAGTTTGTGCAAGAGTGCTTGGTGTGTCAGCAAGCAAAATCACTTACAATCTCTTCAGCAAAATTATCATAGTCATTGCCATTACCTAGCCAAATTTAGGAAGATATTGCTTTAGATTTCATAACTGGCTTACCTAATTCTCATGGTTACACAGTTATCATGATAGTAGTTGATAGACTCTTTAAGTATGGACACTTCTGAGCCTTGAAGAGTGATTACGCTAATAGGCAAGTGGCTAAAGCATTCATGATTAACATTGTGAAATTACATGGCATTACAAAATCTATAGTTTCTGACAGGGACAAAGTTTTTACAAGTTAGTTTTGGCAACACCTTTTTTGATTGCAGGGCACCAAATTAGCCATGACTTTTGCTTATCACCCTCAGTCTGATGGTCAAACTGAAGCTTTGAATAAATGTTTGGAGCAATATCTAAGGTGTTTTACATTTAACAATCCTAGGTCTTTGTTTAAGTTGCTGACTTGGGCTGAGTATTGGTATAATATTGTTTTTCATAATAGTTAGGGAGCTACACCTTTCAAGGCAGTTTATGGTCGAGATCCTCTTTCATTGAATAAGTATAGAGTTGATGATAAAGATTCACCTTGACTCCAGGAAATGCTTCAACAGAGGGATGTGTTACTTAAGCAATTAAGGAACCATTTAGAAAAAGCTCAGGCTCATATGAAGACTCAGGTAGATTAAAAGAAGAGACAAGTTGAGTTGTAAGTTGGTGATTTAGTTTTAGTTAAACTACAACTGTTAAGTTGATAAAAATAATACATCTTGAAAATTTCATATTATTCAAGGTATGTTAGAAAAAGTTCCACATCCAATAAGATGAACAAGGGAGTGACTTGAGTCCATGGTGTTAAGGCATTCCAGTTAGAAACACTTTAAGCTTGTGTTTGACTTTTCTTATACTCTTGTATTAAAGTGTTGTATTGGGGGTAAGGGAGAATAACCTATGTATTATAAAAATTTTCATATAGTGTTATCCTCTAATTTTTATTAGACAATAACCATGGTTTATTCTCCAGTTTTGGAGTTTCCAAGTTATATTCTTGTGTTGATTGTTTTCATCTTATTTCTATGATAGAAAGTTAATTCTCAAGGGGTAAAGACAACGTTTCCTTTTCTTTTTTCCCAACAACCTTATAGGTAATTATCAATATCTTTAAAGAACAATCAGAAGCTCAGTACGAAGTACTTTGGTCCATTTCCTATTATACAAAGAATTGGCTCGATTGGTTATAAGCTACAACTTCTAGAAAAATGGTTAATAACCGATTTTGGCGCAAACAAGTTAGTTTAGCCAAAGTTACACGTAAATGTTGAGGAAGCAAATCAAACGATGCGTAAAAGTAAAAGAAAGAAGTTAGAGAATGTACAATTAAAAGGATTCCATGTGTCAAAGACTTGAAGTATTAATAGATCAAAGGCAATGGTAGGAAGGATTTCATTTCCTTTTAAATCTTAGATTCTTTTCTTGGAGAATTTTCTTCTTTCGTTTCTTGTATCATGCTATGAATCCAAGCAATGATAGATTTCTTCTTTCTTGTAGATTCTTTGTTTGAATTCAAATAAAAATTTGATCAATGTTTCTCTGAGTTGGTTAATTTCGTTATAAATTTTTGTTCTTGTAAGTACCACCTTACACGGTCACCAAAAAAATGGGAATGGAAGATATGTTTTGTAAAATATTTAGGAATGGAAGATTTGATGGATCTTTAAAATTTGAAAGCAATTCAAAGCAGAGAAAAACATGATTCCTTCTCTCACACACTCACTAACTCATTCTTGCCCTTCTTCCATGGGTCTATGGTAGAAAAGTATCTTCATCAACCTTGTGTCTTCAATCTCTACACGTATTGTACATATTTGTAGCTTGCATTTTTTTTAGATAAGATTAGATAACAAAAATCTTAAATCTAAAACCGAATCCAATCATATATATTTATTACAAACTAAAACTTTTAAAATGTTGATTCGAAAAACCTATTCTGATCCACTCGTTGCACCATTTTTTCTTCTAAGTTGGTGTGGATTTGATTGGAGATGCTGACCCCTAATTCAAATTATTGAAAACAAAATTGCAAGTTAAATTTTTGTTTTAGAGAAGGGTTAAAGATATACTGATATTTTTTAAATATTTTAAATAATAACTAGAAATACGTTAAAATGAAGGATAAATTGTAAGTATAATATCATAAAAATATTGTTGGTATGGTATGGTTAAAATTTCACATCAGTAATGTGTAGTAACATTGGTGTGCTGATTGATTAACATTGATATATTTATTATACAAACACTTTAATAACGATTAAGAAACAGTGCCTATAATATAATATCTAAATTTTATCTTAAAAAGAAACAAACTAAAAACTACGTTGCAGCATTGATGGAAAACATTTGGAAAAGTTCACCCCAAAAGCAGCCTCGTATAATATAGCAACTGTTGAAGCAGCAGCAAAACCTGGACAGCATGATAGTCATGACCATTTATCAAAAGCAAATACTGGTGATTGGTTTTAAGACGATTAACAAACAAAAGACACGGCTCTACCATACCTGACATCATGAACCAAGTTTGGTCAATTTGCCAAACACACTTGTCAGAACTGTTCCATCAACAAGAACATCAGACCCAACCGGTTTACCAACATCCACTTCTTTCAATTTTAAAACAAGACAATCCTATGAATCAAGATCATCTAAAATTAAATTTGCAAAACCCTCACCAAATGCACACTAAATTGCTTGAACAACCAACATAACAAATTCATTACGGGTACCGGGATACCCATGACAACAAATATAATACTTTTTCCGGTCATTTTTATAAAATAAAATAAAATATTAAATTATTAAAATAAAAAAATAATTAAATAAGTTATATTTTTATAAATATAATTTTTTTAAAAATACTTATAATATTAAATGATGTAGTTGATAACTTGTATATTGAATGGTATTATTACTATTTAAAAACATATATTTAATAATAAAAGAATAGTATAAAAAATTTAATAATTAATACATCTTAAATTTATTATATATTTTTTATAATTAGAATAAAAAAAATACTTCATTATGTTCCTCATAAAAGAGATCGAAAGAATTATAAATTTAATATTTTCTTTTACAAAATAGGCATATATAAAGTCCTAATTGTCCAAATTCCTTTTAACTACTTGTATATACATCGTTACTACCGTACATTGTTAGTTTATCATGTTTCACGATAAACCAATGTAAATAATGCATACAAGCAAATGTTATTAAGTAAGAATGTTTGTAGGCTTGATGTTTTTCAATACACAATGTTCTAAGCATATACAACCAAAACTTACATTTATTATATGAATACAAGTGAAGTTGTTTTTTTATTAAATAGGAACTACAAGTCTCTAGTCTTAAATATATTATGCTGAGAAGGGGTAAATATACTAAACATTCTTCTTCAACAACTAATATATCTTCTTTTTTTTTTTTTGCATGTTGCTAAATTAGTGCATTAATCTTTGTAAAATGTTAGACACTCCCGCTAGGTCTCCGGGAGTTCTAAGTCATGCACACCTGTATTATGCATGTTGTATGCCTTGTGAGGGAATCCATGAGTTTTGTCTTTATTGCCTTTTCTTTAGACTTTTCTTGTAGTTACTTTGGGTTAAAGTTTGAAATTCTTAGACTAAGTCGTAATCTTATATTATAATATTAGACTTATCTTTATATTATTTTAATTTGTTTTTAATTTTAAAAAGTAACAGGGACACTGTTACAAATACTACCAATATTTGTTTTTGAAATATAAGGTTTACTTACAAATTTGTGTGTTAAACAGGTTTAATGAATAGATAAAAAATCTAATAGATAATGTTATAAAATAAATAAATAAAAGAGACGATAATATATATATATATATACGAGATAAATTAAATTATACTGATATAAATTATATTTAATTTTATATTATTAATAATTTTAAATAAATATAATTTTTTAACCATAAAATTATAATCATAATATATTATATTAATTTTTGTTAAAATTAAATAATTATAAAAATACAAACGAAAGATCTTTCTTTTCACATATTTCAAATGTATATATTAAATTAAATTTGATGTATGAAATAATATGTTAAATAATTTTAGATTGATTAAAGAAATTTACAAACATAATTCATATAATTGAAATTTTTTCAATTTTAGAATTCAATTATTTAATAAAAAATTAAACAAGGAAAGAGTAGATTTAACTAGTACTAATATAATTAGATTTGTTTTCGCACACATATATATTATATATTATTTTAATAAAAAAAAGTAACTATGACACACTAAACACAGAGAAAAGACAAATTTAGAGAGAGAATGGTTTGAGACACCAAGATATAAAATAATATAATTAAATAATAATAATTGACGAAACAATTTTCAAAGCATAAAATTCAGAATCGTGGCAAGCAGTTATCGATGAAAGCACGTTGACAAGGAAGCAAAACATGGGAAGGTGGGATGGATTTGAGAAAATGAAATAGCAAAATAGATAGGAACCCAGCACTCTTTCTACCTAAGAAGCAAACAAAGCATGTTGCACAACTACACAAAGGGAAATCCGTTGACCGTTTCTTTGCCTCCAAAATCTATAACGGTAACCGACCTTCCTTAGTCCCTTGATTTCCTCTCTTCCACTTTTCCCCACCCCAAACCTTGTAACGCAAAACACATTTTTAAAAAATAACACAATAATAAATAATAAACTATTATTACAAATATTTATTTACTCATTACTATTAATTTTAAATAATTAATAGTAATAGTAATATAATAAAGATCAAACATTACATTCCATTCATTTTAGTTGGCATTCCCGTTATCGTCCCCTCCAACCTGTTGCCGCCGATGGCCACCATGCAACGCCGGAAAACGATGACCATGAACTGGGATGGCCTCGGCGACGACGACGATGACGAATTCTTCGAAACCTACAACCGCCTCTCTACCGCCGTGCCCCTCGACTTAGCCTCTTCCTCCGATGAAGAAGACGACGATTTCGAAGACAGCCGTCTCTCCTTCGCCTCCACCATCTCCTCCATCCGCTCCATCAAACCTCGAACCTCCAAATTCGCCGCCGCACCATCCACGCGTCACAACTACGACATCTGGATGGCCGCGCCTGGATCCATCACCGAACGGAGAAGAAGATTGCTCGGAAGCATGGGACTGGACGAAAACAAGGAGTTGCTCAAAGCCACAAGCATCGCTCTCGCTCGTGCCATCACGAATAAGTTCGAAAAAATCCCTAACCAATCCCCTCCTCCTCCTCTTCCTCCTTCTTCCACCACCGTTCCTTCTCCCTCTGTTCTGGCGAAACAGAAAACACAACGCTCCCCTGTTTTCGTCCTCGTCCGTTCGCGTTCCGAGGGCGACATCGATTCCTTCTCGATGGAGAAATCGAGGAAGGAAGAGATAATCGGAAAAGTCTCTAAACAACGGTTGACAAGGACGTCCACGGAGATAGCCGCGCTGCGTGGTCGCGGTGGTCGGCATTCCGGCGGAAAGAGATTAGTGGTGAAGGATTCTGTCGAGTCGAATCGGCAAATAGCGTCGCCGGCGACAGCGGTGTCGGTGGCGGGTTCGGGAGTGGGAGCATTTTTTTTAATAAAGAATTTGGACACGGGAAAAGAGTTTATCGTGAACGAGTACGGTGAAAACGGAATGTGGAACAGATTAAGCGATTTGCAAACGGGGAAGCAGTTAACAATGGAGGAATTCGAGAGAACGGTGGGGCATTCCGCCGTCGTCAAAGAACTCATGAGCCGCGCCAACGTGGCAAGGAGAGGCGATGGTTATGGGAAGAAGCTTTCAACGAATTCGTACATTTCGAAGAGTTTGAGGCTAAGCAAGAGAAGAGGAGCTTCGTTGTTGAAGAACATAAAGGGTGTGGCGAGTGGATTCGTTGGGGAACGTGAAAGAGAGGTTCCTGTTCAGCAAGTGGTGGAGGCGAAAACGCAAGGGAAGAACGAGTGGGTGCGGGTTCGACAGACTGGGAAGTCGCAGAAGGAGTTATCGGCGTTGCATTTGTGTCAGGAATTTCAGGCTCATGATGGGTGCATTTGGACAATTAAGTTCAGTTTGGATGGGCGTTTTTTGGCCAGTGCGGGTGAGGATAAGGTGATTCATGTGTGGGAAGTGCAAGAATGTGAGGTTATGTCCATGAAGCCTGAGGAAGGCAACCTCACTCCTATTCATCCTTCGTTGCTTTCGTCCATGGAACGAACGGATCCTCCTCCTTTGTCTTCTGATAAGAAGAAGAAGGGCAAGTTCGGGAGTAAGAGAGGAAGTGCCATTCCCGATTATGTTCTTGTTCCTGAAACCGTGTTTACCCTCTCTGAGAAACCGTATTGTTCTTTCAAAGGTCATCAGGATGAGGTTCTGGATTTGTCCTGGTCCAAATCTCAGGTAAGCTTAGTCCAGCAATTTTTTTATTTTCTTTTTGTCTATTTTTAAAAATAAAAGGTGTTTTATTCTTTTTATTTTTTAATGTGCTTTCGTCCTTGCAGCTGCTTCTCTCATCTTCCATGGATAAAACAGTGAGGTTGTGGGATTTGGAAACTAAGACATGCTTGAAATTCTTCGCACATAATGATTATGGTGATATTTTTTACTTTGGTCTATCATTTTATTAAGGGTAAATTATACTCACATTTCACGAAATTTAACAAAATTTCTCCCAATGACCCCCCTTTTTTAGTTATACTTAGTGTTATTTTTTTTAATTTATGTAACAACATAATGCAGCATTTTATTTTAGATTACACAAACAACTCTTAATTTCTCATGCAATTATATGAATTAAAAGAAGTCAAAATAATGTGTATAAAAGAAAAAATAGGTATATGGTGAAATTTTGTTAAGCTTCTAAGGATGAGAATAATTTGGCCTTTTAATCTTGAGAGATGAAATATGTTGTACTTGAAATTTATACACTAAATTGCCTTTTTTTTTTTATTTGCTGTTTGTTATGGCAGTGACCTGCGTGCAGTTCAACCCCATAGACGATGATTATTTCATTAGTGGCTCACTTGATGCCAAGGTCAGAATGTGGAACATCCCTGCACGTCTCGTCGTGGACTGGACTGATATCCATGAGATGGTTACTGCTGTTTCTTACACCCCTGATGCTCAGGTATGTTTTTCTTCCCCTACACGCATTTCTTATTTGTAGTCATACATTGGTTATTCTAATTCTTTGTTGATAAAGTTATATAATTTCACATTGATTTTGATCATTCTCATAACTTTTCATCTTGTAGGGTGTTCTAATTGGTACACAAAAAGGGAACTGTCGAACTTATAGCATAGAAGGTGCTAATCACTCCACTAGTCTATTCTTGTTTATATCTCGTCCTCAATTATTGAGAAATTTTACAATGTTATTTCTCTCATAATTTCATATCTGCTACGTAGTTAATCTCATTTCTATGTTCACCAGATTACAAGTTAACTCAAACTGGCACAGTTGAGCTTCGAAACAAGAGGAAAAATCTACTAAAAAAGGTCACTGGCTTCCAGGTAATTTCTTTTCTCCGTATCCAGAAAGATTGCTTTTACGGTTTCCTACCGCTGAAAATTGCTTTATGTATTAACTGGTGTTGCATCGTTACAGTTTTCCCCAAATAATCCGTCAGAAGTGCTTGTTACTTCAGGTGATTGCAGGATAAAAATTGTGGATGGTTCAGATGTTGTTCATAAGTTTAAAGGTGATGATGATGCATCATATTGTCAAATTTTTTTTTCTCCTACTTGAAAAATAGTGTTACTAACATGTTGGTAAAAGCAGGTTTTAGAAATGCAAGCAGCCAAATTGCAGCTTCGTTTACTCCTAATGGGAGATATATCGTAAGTGCAAGTGAAGATTCTCAAGTGTATGTCTGGAAGTACGAAGAGTCTCGCAATTCAAGCTCTGGAAAAGCCAGAAGTCTGCTTATTACAAGCTCTCACGAGCACTTCCCATGTAAAGATGTTTCGGTAGCAATACCTTGGCCTTGTGCCATTAAGGGTGATCCATCATCAATGCCAGTGCAGCAGTCCAAAAAGAACACAAAACGTTCAGCGGCACCACAGGATGAAGCTGGCCCTGGTGCAAGCAAGAGAATCTTGCCACCACTTCCAAAGAAAAACAATATCCTTGCCATAGAAAATGCCCCAGCCTCACCAGAGAATGACCCTTCAGCAATTTCACGAACAACATCTGGAATTGGAGATTCATTTTCTAACAGCAAGAGAATGCTGCCACCCAATCCTAAGAAAAGTAAAAACCAGGCTACAGAAAGTGACTACAATCACATCGAAGAAGAACTTGAAGCAATCACAAGGACGGATTCAGGATTAGGTGATTCATTTGCTTCAGGTTCTGCATCCATTAGATATGGTGATTCACCTTCCAATTATTCGGAACCTAGTACCTCAACAACTCATCCTTCAGCATGGGGCATGGTAATTGTGACAGCTGGGTTTGGAGGTGAAATTAGGTGTTATCAGAATTTTGGGCTGCCTCGAAAGATAGGTAGGCAGACCAATCTTTTTGGAGGACCTACATAACATCTTTTGTCATGGCAAAATTAACATAGCAGCTTTTTTCCCTCCCTTGAGAGATTGAAAGGAAGAAATGATACATGCTAAATGTAAATTTTTCTTTTTCTCATTAGATTGGCATATGATGTGACAATTTTGATACCTGTGTCCAGTGGGTTAGTAAGCATATAAACATTATAGACAATATGCAGATGACCTTCAAACTCAGCCAAGGTAAACAAAAGGTTGGCTACATAAGATTAGATACATTAAGTTAATTAAGCAATTGTTTACAGCGTCTCATTTTTATGTATCATCTTACTGATGCGGTGAGTGATCTACATAGATGTTAGATTAGTTTAGGAAGCACAGATGAATAAAAATTGACAAACAAAAGGAAAAAGGTGTAGGAATAGAAACTAGACATGGCAACGAGGAGGGTGCAACTCTCCCTGTCCTCGCCCTGCCAAAGACGCGTCGCGGGTTCGGTTCGGGTCGGGTTTAAAAATAATGGAGATAAAAAATAAAAACTCAACACCTTCCTCATATGAAGTTGGAGAACCCGCGGTAACTCGTGAAAAATTCCATTCAATATTTTTTCGTTATAAGGAATCAAAATATTAAAAATAAATAATTTAAATTATACTTTTAATAAAATATGTAATTTTAACTTTATATTTTTAGTTATTATAAAAAAATAAGAGTGTGAAAATAAAAGTATAACTAATATATACAAAAGTAAATATTTATTTTAGTATCTAAAATATGAAACGTCCTTTAAATAAATACTCTAAATTTAAAATTTAAAATTTAAAATTTAAAATATTATATCTAAAATTAATATTTATTAATTATTTTAATTTTTATCGTTAAGAAACAATATAATTAAATAATAAAGTAATGATTTATATTAAGTAATGCGTAGACATTTATGATAGATTTTAAATAATATTGTTTTTCATGATGTGTAATCATTTAATTTCCTCTTTAATTATTAAAATAATCTATCCTAACCTCTTTATTAAATACATGAATGATTATTATTCTTGTTCATTCATTTTTGTGTTGCATCCATTTATTTTATAGGAGACAACACAATGATCAGTTATTTGATTGTTAAAAGAAAATAAGTATTTGTTGTTTGTGAGAAAGATACACTCATATATATATATATATAACAATCTTCATTTTCTTCTTTTTCTTACAATGCAATGTTCTCCAACAATATTGTGATTTACCCCCTCCCATTATAGAGTGTTTATGTTTGTTTATACTTATAAAAGTCATAATGTATGTCTCTTACATATGGTTTTGAAGGGTTATTTAGGTTTTTAAATTCTGATTGTCTTTCACATGATGATTTATATATATTACCTTTATTTTATACATGTTATTAATTAATTAATTTGAAATTATTTTATTATACATAATAAATTTTATTATAATTCACATCCACCATTGAAGTAAGTTTGTGAAACAAGCTGATGAAAATATATAGCATGAACAAGAAAAAGTTTTAATTTGGCCTAAAATTAATGATGAATTGTTGGATGTCTTCAACTTTAATAATTTTTGTCATGTATTAGGCTATGATAAAGTGGATAATGTGTCTTGGTTGCAATCCAAAAAGAAGTTACACACAATATTAAAGATATTAAGAGGCAATGTTGATCTATTGGAGATGGCAAGTGCACCAATGAGAAATAACGATGAGATGCATATGTACTACAAACACTCAATAGATAAAGTAGGATATGTTGATCCTGTGTCAAGACATGAAAGTAATGTAGAAAATGATTAGATTGGACAAATGCAAAGGATACTATAGAAGTAAAACAAAAAAAGGTAGCAAAAATATAATTCAAAAGGGTGAAAAAAGTTATTACAAGGAAAGAGAAGCAAAGGTCAAATCAAAGTCAAAGACAAATATAATTAGAACAAATAAAGGCAAAGTAAAAAGGAGAAAGAAGAAAAATGATGAGATATATTTGACTAAGTGTGTAAGGCACAATAATACAAATACAAGTGATGTTACTAATGAGAAGGATGATGATGATTCATGAGTGGTCTAAATAATTGAAAACTCTTATTAGCTCTAATGATAAAGAATATGCATGTAGTAAATAGGTTTTCCAACTATTCAATGAAGAATTAACTTTTTAAGCATATGAACCTTGAACTTTGGGAATGAGTTTGCAAATTTGAAGGCTTTTAAGCAAAGAGTGAAGGACTACAATATTAAATTAGGAAGAGAAAATCTTTGGGTGAAGAATGGCATAGCTAGAGCAAGGGCCAAATGCAATCATTACACTACGTTTGATAAAACAAGTTAAAAGCTATAAGTTTGTAACTTTTAGTTGTGAAACTATTTAAAAGTTGTAGATTTGTAACTTAAATTTTATACATGTATAAGTAGCTTATAAAATTAAATTGTTTAACAAACAATTTATATAATAAATTAATTTATATTAAATGACTTAAAAAAACATATAATATTAATATAATATAATATTAAAATTAGATATAATTTATTTTAACACATCTTATTAATAAAAATGGTATTATGATTTAGACAATAACTTGAAGTTATTTTTAAAATTATTAATTTTAACGTGTTATATTAATAAATATTATATGAATTGATTTAAATAATTTATTTTTTAATTTTTAAAAAATATTATTTTCTATTTAATTTTTATCTAACAAAATATACTATTAATTATTAAAAAAATAAAAAAATGGTGAAAAAAATGAAAAAGGACTACCTATAATATTAAAAATTACAAACTCTTTTAATTTTATATTTACTAAATAATAATTTATTGACCAAGCATAACCATAATCTTTTCAAAAGTTGAAATACATTTATCTTATGTTATGTATAATGCACATGTCTACTTGCTTTAAATTTAATGTTCACATATTTTTTCAATCTAGAAAAATAAAGATTGTTAAAATTGTAGCTTAGATAAGTAAAAAAAGTAAAATGTATTGAGAGATTAAATCTGCTTATTAAGATTTCTTATCTTTAGCATTTTAAACGTAAAAAAAAAAGAGAAGGGCTCTTAATATCTTTTTTGTTTCTTTTCTACGAAAATGTTTCTATACATGACGGAGGATGCAACATTGGTAATTTGGTATCTCTGTCAAAGTTTAGTACTTGAAAGAGAATGAAGAGCTTTGCTATTTAGTTCCAACTACATTACATGATTTGACTATGGATATCGCGGTTACTATCGACTTAGTAGGAAAATTAGAAATTATGGTAAAAAAAAGAATGAAAATAGTTGATGTTTGTTTTTTTTATACAAATTTATATTTATGATAAATAAAATTATTCTAAAAGATAGTTTAGATGTACTACGTCATACGGCATTTTGAGAATGAATGACAATTTTTGTTTGAAAAATTTATACATCCAACAATGATTCAGAAATATGTTGATATCGATAAAAGTCTTGCTATTTAGGCTTGTTTTTAAAAATTTATAAATTTATTAATACACATGAATACATTTTAATGTAATTTAAATTAAAAAATTTAATTAATAATTATAATTTCATATTTTTATCTTGAATATGCATCTTTCATTTAGAAAAACAATTTCTTTAATAAACAAGTGCATCTTTAAGAAAGTATTTATTATAATTTTTATTTTAAAAAAATATGTGAAAAATTCTTTTATTAATATTATATGAAAAAATTTAAACAAAAATTACTTAAATAGAATGAGAATTAACACTTATAAATAGCAATAGCGGTGCCTTATTATATTTTTCTTTTGTTATTTCAAAGGGAGCCGTCCTCATCTTTAGTAACAACTATTTTAAGAAAATAAAAAATTTTTATAATAAATTTATCAAGAAATTACGGCAGCGAATTTAAAATTAAGCTAATATAAACATGTGCTAAGTTCGAAAAACATATATTAAAAATTTTAATACTTAAAACTTTGTTTAAATCAAGAAAACAAATAAAGAAACAAATACGAATAATAATGTGCAACTTTTGTTTGGCTGAAAAAAATGACTTTTAAAAAAAACATTTTTAAATTTTTTATATCTAAATTTATATTTGTATTCTTTATTTTCTTTCTGTGGAAACAAACTAGATTCTATAAGAAGGAAGAAGAAAAAGAAGTTGAAATGGCACGACGTCGTTTTGCTCTTCTGTGGAGGACCAGTTCAAACTTCAAACTGCGACTCCCGCGTGGTCCTTTCAACAATTCAGATTCAGACTTTCACTCAACGCAAAATGGAACTCGATCAACTTCACTTCGATTGCGAGTTCCCAAATCTGAATCTCACACCGAAACCCTAGAAAATACATTTACCCCTTCGCACAATCACAAACCCTAAATTTCCGAAAATGTCCTCGCCGATAACCTACCCTGTGGTGGTCGACGACAAGGACCTCGACGACGCCGCATTGTGGGCCATGATCGATTCAGCCTCTGCCTCTCTTTCCTCATCGAAGAGCAAATCCCTCACTAACGTCAAGTATTCCAACCGCCAATCCCCTTCTTCGATCTCGAAACCCTCGCCGCCGGCGCCGAAGTGCCGGAAGACCCTCCGTGACTCCGGCGATAGCGGCGAAGTGGTATACGACCCGTGGCCCTACCGTCCACCGAGGAAGGTGGCAAGAACATGTCCTTCGGAAGAAAGTAGCCCTCTTGCTTTGGTCAGAAACGTGCAGAGGATGCCGCCGGCGAAGGTTTATTCGCCGCCGGAGATGAAGCAGTTGCCGGACGTGCAGGAGCTGAGCTGTTACACGGAGGTTTCGCCGCGGTGTTTCGGGAAGAACGAGGAGGAGAAGGAGCACAGCGTGAGGCATAGCTTGTTTGGAATGTTTCCTTCTGTTTCGTTGTTTAAGGAGTACCAGAATGCAGCTATGGCGGTAATTTTTCTCATCCCTTTGCTTCAGTGTTCCTTTTAAGCTTCAGTTTCCCTCCTTTTTTTTTTAAAAAAAATTGAACGTTCTAATTGCTGCAATGGAGAAAGAGGATTTGTAGCGTGGAACAATGCTTCGTCGGGAATGAAATGAATGATATTTGTTACCACTACACCAAAAAAAAAAAAGAATTATTTTATTTACAAGTTTTCTAACGTACATTCAATAGAAAATTTACATGATATCATTAAACGTTAATTTTTTAATAAAAAAATGTATTTATTTTATTTTTGCATATTAGAAAAGCCGTTTTATGTAATTTATTAGTTTTTTTCCTCCTAACATGGGATGTGGGATAAAACTAATTTATTATTTGTTCTCATCTTTGCGATTCCTTTTACATATTAAACAATAATAGGTTTGACTATTCCATCACAAAATATTTAAATAATGAAATAATAGTGTTTTATTTTATTTCATCGAATTCCATTGACCATGGAATATGTAATGAGAAACCTATAATTTGGCGTAAAGATATACTATATGGGGTGCTGAAGTAGACAGTGGAATAGTAATGTAGCGATACGATGACAATTTCTTTTCTTTCCCCCTTTGTGTTTAACTGTCTTTGTGCTTCAGGTAATGTTCTTAAACTAATCATTACATAACTGGCCATTTTACAGTTTGAATATGTCCCTGATTGACATCATATTTTCTGAGCATAGTAACCATACTTCACTTAAACCCATTTTCCGTAGACAAAGAAATGCTTTGGGAGGATGTTTTCTAATTTTCAAAATCTGGATAAATAGGTAAAATGGAGACAGTTTTATAAACTCTTTTGTTTTTTCAAATTTTCAGTTAAAACAACAGCAATAGTGACATGTAAAGAGAAGAGCACGCGAAGCCCCATTAAAAAGGCTTGATAATAACTTTTACCCGTTTGATCTACGTCATCAACCCGACTTAGGACAAAAGAGATTTTGTTGTCGTCGTTGTGTAACTTGTGTTATTAAAAAAGAAAAGAAAAGCTTGTGTTTGGCAGAATCTCTTAAAATTTGAAAAAAGTAGTTTTTATATCACGAGAGAGGCCTAATAATTTTGTCCCCTTTCCCAACGCACATTTAAGGGCTATTGCTATATGCACCAAATATGCAAATAAGGATTCGAATTCTCTTCATTTTCAGCTTGAATATGATGGTCCAGTTGAGAATCTCTTAAACAAATCATATGAAAATGACCAAAAATTACATCAAATTTGCTTAAGCAAATTTTGTTTCATGATCCTATCTCTTCAACTCTGTCTAGCTTAGAAGCAATCACATTCATGCTATTGATATATGTTTAGTTTAACTGTCTTTTCACTTTCTTTGTTTATAAAGAGTAAAGCACATGCATACACATTGTAGCAACTAAGAGAACGTGAAGCTTATGTATTGGATTTTCAGTGATAAATTTTGGTATCTATTCTAATTGTAAGTTAAGTTGGGATTAGTGGTGTGAAAAGGTGAAGAGGACTAACCTTAAACAATGATTGCAGTTACCGGTGTTTTTGAAACTGAACTTGCTAGTGAAAACGGGCTGAGAAATGTACCTTGAATTTGGAAAACTGGAGGCTGCATTCTGGTTTGCTGTCGAATTAGAAGACGAATCTGGGATCGAGTTTGGCTTTCACATTCAAATGGAGCAATCTTGAACTTTATTTTTTTAACATGTTCATGTTTTTCCAATGATTCACTTCCAACCTTATCACCGTCTCTCCCACTTTGTCTTCCAATTCTCTGTTTTAACCGTCCAGGAAAGGAATGTAAGGGATGATGGTAGCTATCAAATACATGGCTAATCTTGTGACTTATGAGGTCATATAAAGCAAAATTTGCTTTAAGTGAATTTTATGTGACTTTTGGTCATTTTCATATGATTTGCTTAAGTGAAGTTTAATTTGCTTAAGTGACTTTTGACTGAACCGTCATATTCGTGCCAAAATCAGAAAGGATCCGAATCCACTTAGTATGCATCATATTAGGTATAGAAAAGATAATTTTTCCTGTACTTTCTGTCTTTTCTGCGATGAATAAGAAACCTTGACGATTGATTCCTATTTCCCCTACATTTTGATACACTGGTTATCCTGAAAAATCATTGCATGATATTAGCCACTTTCTTTTGTAAATATCGTAACTGCTTGAAAACATATTTGCTTGACTTCCATGTCTCATTGGGACTGTCTCGATCAATACAAGGCGAATCTTGAGTATTCTTCTGATATTTTTTAATTAGTACACGTTTCCAAATGCTCAAAGCTTGGAATTTTGCATCTGTGATACACTTCAACTGCTGTTTGTTGTTGCTTTTGCATATAATTACACTATCTCCAATCTCGACAGCATTTTATGCAAGTATATGAAAATGAGAGTTGCGTGTGATGCCACTATTTTCTGTCACTTAGGAAGGATATACCTAATCAATCCTTTGTCATGTCTTGAATGTTCAGATTTTGGAGAAAACTGATTACACTTTGATTTCGGGGAGTCCTTACATTAAGAAGTCAGGTAAACATAGTTTGTCGTCTCTTACTTGTGAAAATGCTACAGTTGATGATGTAACGTGGTGGATGCATTTTCTATAGGTTGGAGAAAGATATCTTGTTACTTCAATATTTCTTATGAGATCAGAGACAAGAATATTGAGTTTGATGAGAATCGCAATGTTCAGCGTGCTGAGTTTGTGATTCGAGCATACATGCAGTATGTGTCTTGTTTGGTTGTTTCATTATTATATCTTCCAAATGATTTCTTTTCTCACGACAATTACTGCCGTTTTTATTGATTTTCATTACATCAGGGGTGGTAGGTTCTCAGATGGTTGGGGCTCTTGTGAGCGACGCGAAAAGAGATTTCAGAAACCAAATCATGATATTCCAAGCACAGCGGAAACTAGAGCCAAAAATAAAGCTTGTCAAGTACGTCATGTTTATCATGTTATGTTTTTCTGTAGACTTAAATAAGTTTAGGTCTTCATAAATGTTGTTGGTTTTGAAATTATGCTTTTATAAAGTTTTTTGTTAGTATTTATTTACTCTTAAATATTTTAAAAACATAAAAAATTAGTTCCTATTATTTATTTTTTAAATGTTAGAGATTAAATACTGACGAATTTTTTTTTTTCAGAGATCAATTCTAATACATTTATACATATCAAAATCTTATATAAAGTTTTTCTAAATTGTATTTTCAATTCTTGGTGTGGCTTTCTATGGCCTTTAGCTGCTTATTCCCCACGTCAGATATTGACAGCCTCCATCCATTTGTGAATTCATATAGCTACCTAATTCTGAATCAGCCTATAGCCAGTCTTTGGAGCACTTGGTTGTGCTCTTCAATGCAACTTCATTTTGGCTCATTCTCTTTCAGAATTTAATATATATGATAAACATAATAGAGGGTTTTATCAAATGACATTACAATTTCCACAAAAAGCCTTAAACGGAAGCTTAATCAAACTTCACAATCGTAGTTCTCTGCTGCTGAAATGATCCGTGTCAATCTTGGATCGGCACAGCTCTGTAGAATTACTTGGTGCATACCCAAAATATTTTTCTTTCCTCTAGTGGATTTCCATGTTTTATGAAGACGGTTCCCCAAGCAACACAGCATAGTGGATTTCTATGTTCTTTGTCCGCGAATGTTTTTTTCTATCTTTGATAGGCTTGTATACAAGTTGCTGAGATGCTTGATTTTTCTATTCGGGCTTCTTGTGGCATCACTATTAATTTTATTTTAAGGTCGGGATCCCTTCATTAATAATGTTCACCGTCTTGCACGCCTTGGTTTCCAACGACGCTAAAAACGATGAAAATTTTTGTTGTGTATATATGTACCTATCGATTGAAGGTTCGATTGGTTATTTGTGGTTAGCAACACGGTTGCCTTGATGTAATTTCTGTTAGTGTACTAGTTGTTTTCTTTTCTTTTTTTTTGTATCTTAAATTTCCTTCTCAGATGGTTGAAAATGAAAACTTGTATGAAAACTTCATTTCTGAACGTGCGTTTAAACTAAATTTTTATCATGTTGCTAAATTTACAGGACCTGCTAGGAATCGGGGAATATCGACCCGGTGCAACAAGTCAATTTCATTGATGTTGTAAATGTTTTTGTAATGATTTAACATGCCCAAATATTTGTTTAGGGGTTAAATGAACAGAACATTTTTTTTAAATGTATCTTATTGATGAATAATTTTGTAAATGCCATTTAGCACGTATTTGGTGCTCAAAGCATTCAAAATTTCATTGCGCTAGATGCTAACATTTAGCAACAAATGCTATTCAGCATGAATAGCCTGTTATGTTTCATGAATTTAAAATTAACAAATAAGTTCTTACATCATACTTCAAGCCGGAAAGAAAAGAAATGAAAAACTTAGAATTTATTTGTTTTCTCTTTTTAAATATAATTTTTTACTTTCAAAAATAAAAAAAATGGAAAAACTTTATTTGTTAATGAGTTTTAAAAGTTATTTTTAAAAATAATTTTTTTTCAGTTTTTAAAACTGAAAAATAAAAATAAAATTTAGGTGTTTTTGTTTTTCTATTTCTCTTTTTAAAACTAATAAAAGTTTAACTAAAAATAGTTTTAAAAACTAAATTATCAAATAAATTTTATTTTTATTTTTTCTTGAAAATAGTTTTATAAAATTGTTTTGAAATGTATTTTTTAAAAATTAAATATTAAAACTAAATTGAACAAGCTCTTAAAGTTTTGACTAATTTTTGTAGTATCAATCTTTTTCTTATTTAATATTTTTCTTTTAATAATTGGTATGAAATAATTTTAAATGATTTAAATATATTTTTTTCTAAAAATAAAATATTAATTTTAATGCTTACGAAAACCTTATTCTTTTTTTAACTCTCAATATAGATAACTTTTTACGCAGAATGTGTTGTCAATAAAAAAGCTAAAATATTATAAAAGATGTATTTACTTTTTTGTTTAATAATGTATAAGTGTTTTTGTGGTATCATGACTAATTATTACTTAGCAAATTATATGATTACGCTTTTTATATTAACATTCAAAATATAAAGTAGGTTAAGAACGTTTGGACTTAGGGTGATTTTTTTTTTAAAATTTCACTTTGATATCAATATTAATTATTTTAATCATTCATCAATTTTATTTATTAATTAATAGTTATGTTAGGAATAAATTTATTTAGAGGAAAGTAATATAACTAGATATGATTTTAATTGGCTCATTGGTAAGAAAACTTTGTACCAATACATTAGTTAGAGGTGAATTTGATGCTTTCCTTATGTATAAAAGATTAAATTTTTAGTTTGATTTTTTTTTTTTTGTGATGTCCTTTCCACAAATTAATTAAAACATCATAGTAATTTGATATCTTTACCTGTTTGTTTGAATGTCATACTTATACTAAGAATTTTCTCTATTATGTTAAAGACTATCTAATAACTAAAGTTTTGTTTGAAAGTTTAGATGAGAAGGGAAAAGAAAGGTCTAAAGGGGGAAGGAGGAGAGAGAAAAGAAGTGAGAAGGAAGTTAAACCTTTTTCTTATTTGAAAGTTTAATATTGAGAGAAGGTAATGGAGAGTTTGATTATACAAATAATATTATTATATTTTATATCTTTTATTTATATATTTTTAATTTTACAAAAAATAAAAAATAAATATTTTTCTTTTTCAAAAAATTAATAATTTTAAAATTAATATTTTTATCTTTTATAAATTTTTTTAAAAAATCTCACTCAAAAAAACTAATATTTTAAAAAAATTTAAAATCTTAATAGTGTGAAAAAGAGAAAATCTTAAGAAAACTTCTTAATTGGAAAAACTCAAAAAACTAGCGTTATTAAGATTTTGGGGGGTTTAAAAAAAACCCTCAAAACTTTCCTTCCCTCATCTCCTAAACTTAGTTCTCAAACATAACCTAAAGAAATATGAATTTGTGCATGTTTATGGACTGACGGATTTGCAACTTCTTTTAATGCGAACTAGATTGTGATTTAATATAAAATAATTTTCCTTTATTTTTACTTACACTTTGGTAGGTATGGAGTGTCAAGAAAGCTAATTGTATTGCTTGGAAAAAAAATAATCTAAATTTATAAAATTATGTTCAATGTAATGAAGCTTACTAACCAATTTCATTTATGTGAACAAGTGTAATAATCTCAAGCTCACCTGAAAAGTTAGGTTCATTAAAAAGCTGATCATAAATTTGAATTTATTTTTAATGTTGATGGGAGTACTTGAGTAAGCCTGCAAAAGTTAATTTTGGTGCTCTTATTAGAAATAAGAATGAAAATTAATTTATATGAACTTCTGTGTTCATTGATATTTCTCACAATATGCAAGTTGAACCATAGCCATGCTTTAATGTTAAAAATGACTTGAAATCATATTATCGGACATCTTTTGTGTTATTCTAACAGGATAGAGGTCAAAAACTTTGTAAAGAGAGTTGTTTTATCTTTTCACATATTAATCTCATTTGAAATATAAATGAGTAAATGAAAAAAGATTAACAAATGATCATTAGACACACATGTCTAAAGGCAACATATGTACAAATTTTTTATAATTAAACTGGGAATTTTTTTTTTCATATTATAGTTTCAAATATTAGATCTAACATCCTACAGATTTTAAATTATTCTTTAGACTCATATGTAGGAATTCCATATTTAAGTTTTTTCTTTTATTTGTTTTTTTTACTTTCTCTTAAAAAGTGTCATGAAGTGGAGTGAAAGTAACTTATAATTTTTCTCTCGATCAATCATTAATCAAGCTACAGTTGCTCAGGATCGATACACCGTTAATATCGTTGTTATTTTGTAAGAAAGCGAAAACCTTCAACATGTATTGAGCTAACATTGCATATAGTATTGGATTTTATATTTTTATCTTAGTAAATTTGACAATGTTCTTATATTGTAAAATCTAGGTGTATGATTGAAAAGATATAACCAAAGCTAAACTTTTTATATCTATGCAAATCTGAAGAACTCAATGTTTTCCTAAGAATTCACGTAATTAAAAAAATACGAATAAATATTACGAAAAAATGTAAAATCAGAAAATAAGAAAAAATTACATTTAATTAATTAATTTTCATTTTATAAACCTGATTTCTCATTCTTAAAACTAAGATAATTCACTACATATTTTTCTATTTATGTAATTACAATATTTTTCTTTTCATAAAACCTATCGATTCAATGTTTGTTCATCCTTAGATAATTATTTACATAAAAAATAGAAAAAAAGGTTTATTTTATCTTTCATGTATTTTGGGTCAATACAATTTAAATTTGGTTTTTAAATTGTAAAATGTAACGTTCTTTATTTATTAAACTATATGAAAAAAATCCTTCCATTACTAGGATATTAAATTTGACTATTAACTACTCAAATTTCTCACATGTGCAAGGTGTTGTTATATATATATATATATATATATGGAAAGAATTTTCTAGTATAAGTTTAAAAATTTTTACATTTGATCCGAGTCTTTTATTTAATTTACATATAATGATTAGTGAAATAATAAATTATAACCCGTTAGATGTAAGTTAAATATAAAAGACTCAAATCAAGTGTAAAATTTTTAGACTTATACTAATGTAAGAAGATCTTGCCCCATATATATAATTTTAGGAATAAATCAAATAATATTTATAATTTTAGGAATTAAATGAACATATATCTGCAATTCTGAAAATAATGTATTACTACTTATAATAATAATAATATTATTATTATTAAAATACACAAGAGTATTGTAACCATGGTCATTAAGATGCTGTTCAAGTCATTCATTATAACAGTATTTCCATTCGTTTTTAATAAAATTTTCCCACTTGCCATCATCCTTTCTAGTCATTTTACCATATTTTGAACTTGTTACTTCCATATAGCTTGTACCAGAATCATCCTCGCTTCCACTTCCAAACAAACCTAAGAGAAAAAGAAGAGAGAAAACTTTGTTAATATTTTTGTGTTAATTTTTAATTAAAATTATAGCTAATTTTGATAGTCTATGTCAATATTACATATGAATTTATATTATATGAATTATCAGAATAAAAATATAATTTTAATTAAGGAATAATGTTAAAAGTATTTAAAGAAGTGCAATTATGTTTTTAATTATTATTAAGAATCAATGCTCACGTGACTTTAGAGCCATCTTGAACGTGGTTAAACTGTTCTTATTTGGAACCCAGAAAGCTCTTACGGCTACGTATTTTCGACTTTGGTTAAACGCCAAAATTATACTATTTTTGAATGTTGATACAACCTATGTTTTGTTGTTTATGCATTTTGTTCAACAATTCTTCTTTCGTGTTCTGTTGGTCCCATGGTACACAACCTGGAGCTGATATGCATACATCTTTGTCTGAAGTGAATTTTTGGGATTTTTTCTAATATTTCATTGGATCTGTTACTGCGTTTGCTTATACTTCTCAAAATCATTCAGTATGACAGTAATGGCTTCATAGGTACCAACTCTCTCACGCGCACAATTACATCTTTTAATTCTTAACTTTATTGTTAAACTTCTTATCAAATAGATAATATATAAAGACCAGCATGTTATTCATCCTCGTTGCAAGAAGAAAAAGATACAAGAGAGTTTAAAGGTGAAATCTTCACAAAATGGCTTTGTGCCCCTATCGGCCATTTTTCCTTGGAACTTTATGCATTGTTTTTGTCCTGACTTCAGGTAACAAATGGAGATTAATTTCACCTCTTAAGTTTCTTTTTTTCTTCTGCAAAACAATTAGCTAAAAAAAAATATGAAAATAATAATGATCATAATAAAATCATGTATCCTTCTATTGTTGTTTCTTCATAATTTATTTGTTTAAGAAACATTTTAGTGTTAGGCGAGCAAGATCTTATAAAAAAATATTAATAAACTATTTTATGTAAATTTCTATATATTTTTTAAGAAATTCTATCACTAAATTTGTCTTTTGAACGACTAATAAATATTACCATATTCCTTTTTTAAAGATTTTATTATTATATTATATTTTAAAAATTAATATTGTGTTTTTCTGTACAAATCAGTAGGGCACAAATATGACACCACCTCTAGGTAGCTTTATTTCATTGGCTAAACTACAAGTTAAAAATATGAAATAACAAAAGGAAAAGAAGAAAAATAATGCTTGCGATTATTCCATTTCATATCGTACCAAAAGGATTTCCGTTTCGAAAATTCAAAACGTTGCCAAATTCGTGA